CGCCATGTGTTCTCCTCCGGGGCAGGCGGCAGGCGGGAATCGAACTCATGCGGAAGTGGCTTCAGATTCCCAGTGCTGTGCTTTAACCCGCTGCGCCACCATGGAGGGCCGGGAGCATCTAACTTTTAAGGAGCATTATCTGGGTGCATTATGGGTACTTATTTATAAGGTTACCACCGTTATATACAGTGGTTATCATTTATAGGCACTTTCAACATATTTCTAATTATCTTACATCAGCTATGATTGTCACATCATTTTAAAGACACTTTGATTAATATTGACTGTATGATTTTCTTGGGGACAACCTCAGTGTGTTATCGGTAGGACATCTAATTATTAGAGTATTTAATTAAGAGTTTCTTTCAGGTGCTTTTCAAAGAACAATTTAATATTTGAGGAAATGCTACCTTATTTATATCTCAGGAAACTGAACAGTGCAGAAATCTTGACAGTTGTCACAAAGACTCAAACAGACCAAACATTACAAAAATTATTTTCATTTATTCAAGCCTTTCAAATAAAATATTCATTTAACATGATATTCGCTGAGGCAAAATATACATAATTTAATCAGCTTTTCAAACTCATTTTAAAATAGAGACTGTCATTTAAAAATCTCAGCTGTTTTTCTTCCTTCTAACACATTAGGAAAAAAAACCACAACTCACAAGATACCACATCATATAAGACAGCCAAGTTCTGTCTCCCATATCTCGATCAATAGAAGGAAAACTTGCGTGCTACAGCTGCCATAGGCAGGCCCTTGACTTCGGGCACATTGAAATGATGATGTGAATTCAGTGTGTCTTTGTGCACCTGTCTACTTTCTGTTTGATGGGGAAAGTGTAGGAGGTTCTTCACTGAGAAACTGAAAACCTTTCTGTGCACCAGTGGAGGGATATTCTTTGACACCTCTTAATAGGAAAATTCTTTATCTCCCCTTCTTTATCAAAGAAGTCTCTAGTTCCTTTGAATATATTTGTCTAATGGAAAGCTGTGGGGGCCTTCTTCAACTGTGAACCTGTAGCAAAAGGTACTCATGTCACCACATTTGAAAGCAGAACCCCTCAACTCTCTACAGAAAGCTCAGAGCTGATGCTCAAGTTCCTATCACGCTGGACACACAGCAGGAAATACATCTGAGGGAGTCTATGGGGCAGTGAAAATGCTCAAATGGAAAATGAAATGGAACCACTGGGAACTGACTTAGGAATGTGGCTGCCTCTTGCTATGGAAGGGGGGAAAGGTAATTCAGTCAGACCCCTTCATGAACACCCTCTGACCAGCTGCTCCCCTCTTGCTCTAAAACTCTGCTGCCACTGATCAGCCTGTCCTGGCCTCCTCTTGTTACGTCCAAGCAGCTGGCCAATGCCCATCCAGTTTCTGGCTGGACACGCCCCTGGCTGGTCTTCACTGCCCCCAGCACTCTCTGACTCCACTTTTCTTATTCCCACTTTGCACGCCAGTAGCTCGAACCCTAACTTCCCCTGGGCCCCTATCCCCAGTGCTTCTCTGTCTGGCTCATGCTCTCCCCTGGAACCCAGCTACAGCGTTGTAGTGGAGGCATTTCTGCTGTCTTTGCACCTCCCTGCTTCCCCTTCTGTCCATGATGTCTACCATGAGGCTTCACACCCAGACAGAGAAATGAGAACCATAAAGTTGTCCTATTGGGCAGTGTGAACCCCTCTCAGCCGGGCATACCTCGAAGAAGTCTCGCGTCAGGACGTGAGTTCTTCAGCAGTGTCAAGGCATTTGAAGAACACGGTTGTCCTCCCCCCTTGCTGACCCCCCCCTGCGACAAATCTAGTGGGTGTCATTGGCCTGCTGAGCCAAAGCCACACACACAGGATCGCTGGGCGTTTCGGGTAGGGCTCTACTATAGTTCTTGAATGCTAATGAGTAGCTCTTCTCTCTCTATCTTATGCTTTTGACTGTCACGGAGAAAGGCAAGTCATTTTCAAAAACACATTTATTATATAAATAAATAGGTTGCAACACTTTCAAAATAATAATTAAAATGCGAATGGTCTTGGTTTTACTTTTATCTTTATGATCATAAATACGAGAGAAACGTTTCATCAATTTACAATATTAACTCATCTCATCTAGTCTAGCAAAACGTCAGGTGGGTTGTGAGATTCAGTCCAGGACTGTGGGGTTCCCCTGAATGTTGTGGATTTTTTGGGCATATTTCAAAGGCAGTATATATGTACATATATATATATTTACATACACATATTTAAATATATACGATATTACACAATGGAACCACTGGCCATTTAATACCAAAACCAACATCTGGACTCAGTTGAAATTCAAATTTTCACTTTAACTTTTTCCACCAAATATTCCATCAAAAATGAGGAATGCATTATCGGAATAGCTGAAGTATGTGCCTTCAGATTCTCCTTTGTCCATTTAGTGTCCACTTGTATCAGCTTGAAATCCTTCATTCACTTGACAGTGTGGTGAATCAGGCACTGTCTCTGTACCTTCAATCTCTGGAAGTTCCCCTCTGTTTTTCTGGTAACATTTCTTGTATGCCACATAGACTAGAAAACAATGTGCAGGAGGTTAAGCAAATTCCTGAACACTAAGCTGCAAACATACTTTGAACCATGACTCTAACTGATGGCTCAAAAACAGTTTGCCTTGGGCCTCCCTGGAGGTGCAGACATTAAAGTCTCAGCACTTATTGTGGTCTGAATTCAGTCCAGACCGGGGAGTGACTCTTGGGGTGCAGCAGACCTCTCCTGTCTCCCTGCTGCTCCCCTCAGCAGTGGATTTCAGGGGATCCTCCTGTTCTGCGGCAATCCCAACCCTTCTTCCTCCTCCCCTTGAGGGGGGCCCTGTGCTGGTTGAAGACCAGAAAAAAAGTAAACCCAAACCAAACTGTCTCTGGCATTTAACAGCTACAGATTTACGCGGTTTTTGTCATTCGCTTCATTATACCATCCCCTTGAGAGTGCTATGGAGCTTAGAAAAGGGAGTTTACTTAACAAATTAATTTTAAAAATAGGGGTTAAATCAGTTTTGGGGATCAAACTATAGACAAGTTGCAAGTAGGTGGCGGCCAGGCGGGCAGGACTGGGGTGCCACCCCTTGCACTAGGTGAGAGAGCGCTGAGGGACCAACTCAGCTGCGCCGAGGTCATTGAGCAAAGCCCCATCGACACGGGGCTTCCTCTGCAGGTCGATCTGTACCCCATACTCATGGGCACCCCCCCCGTCTGACTTCTGCTATCCCTTAGCCTGGCAAACATCCTTTATACACATTTTCAGATAAATACCCTATATCTCAAAACAAAGAATTGGTCGCCAATTATTTTTGCTTAAAAATAATCTTTACGAGAACCTTTTGGTGAAATTACTTTCTTTTCATCTATAGCTGGGAAATCGTGGGTGCATGATTGGGGGACATTTCCACTGATTTATTTAATTGCTGGAGAAAGAGAATTTAATTTATATAACGTACTGCCAGAGAAGTGTAACAAACCAAAGAATAAGGCAATACCAACTTCTTATCAGGATTTCTCCAGGGGGAACACTGGGGGAAATGGCCAGGGCATCACACTTACTGCCCAGGAATATGCCCGCGAAGGCCAGCTGGAAGATGCTGTAGATGAGCGGGAAAGTGAAGACGACGTTGAGCTCCTCGGGCGTGAAAGAAAGCTGCACGATGGTGGAGCACAGCTGTGTGTTCTGCATGCCCGTCTCCAGAGCCACCGTCCGGCACCTGAGGGGGGCGGAACAGGTCCAGGGCCTGAGGTCAGCTCCCCGTGCTTTGTTCTTACATAATGTCCAAAGCAGATCCACTGACAGTTACCGTCTGTCTGTGTCTCTATATCGGCTCTCAATCTGTGGTTCTTCTCTATGATTCTTTCTCTATTGGAACATGTGTGTTTCTATCGAAACATATTAATATAGTATGAAGTACTCTATTACACAGGGATGAAGAGTCACTTTTTAGATGATATATAATCTGTGTATTCTACACATCTTATCGTCATCATTTTATCACTGTTATGACAATGAGGATATGTATGTAAAACTCTATTAAGGTGAAAAAGACATAGGCAAACAATAGCCACGGTCATTATTGTTCTCTCCCTTTCACTCTGAAACAAGGATTTGGAGATTAGAATATTTTCTTGCTCAGAAAAGATAGAACATCAAGATAGTTTAATTTGTCCCTGAGCAGTGGCCTATATCTCTAGCTCATTAGTCTTTTGCAAGTATACATCTAGTATTTATACAACAAAATACACTAATATTTAACTTAATATATAACAAAATACGTTAATAAGCAATGCATCATCACTATGGGGCACATGTATGTCATCATTTAAGTCTACAATTACGTATTGAATACATAAACATTAAAGTCGGCTCTGGGTGAAGAAACAGCCCAGCAGGCAGGCGTCCACCCATATCGGCGTCACTGAGTGGCCAAGGAGGTTCATGTCCCTCACTCATTGTGTCCCTGGTGCCAGTGCAGGGCGCCAGAGAGAGAGGGCATCCCGATGGCTGTTTTATTCTGAAATGGTTTTATTGTGCTGATTGAGCCTTTATCAAAGCTCTTCAGGGTGGTGACTGCCCTGTCCTGTAGATGAAAAGGTTCCTGGAAACACAGGCGTGGCCGGGCCAAGTGGGTAGCTGGTACGGGAGGGAGGTGGGTGCAGCCCAGGCAGCTGCCTGCGTGGTGGGGGGGCCCTGGGCCTGTCACCGCCCGGTGCTGCTCCCCTCTTTCTCCAGCTCATACACACACCCCAGCCCCCACACCTGCTTCTCTGCCTGCCTGTGATTCAGATGGGCGAGTGGGAATCAGCACCAAATCCCACAGCTACCCACCTGGTTTTTATATTTGATGCCTTTCGGCGATGAGCTCACCCAGCTGCGGGCCTTGGGGCTCACCCAGGAGCTGCAGTCAAGGTCACTCTGCCTGGAGAGTGACCGTGGAAGGAGGGGTACCACCTGCTTGTGTGGGGGATGGTCCAGGAGAATGTGTACAAAGGGTCGTTGTTCTGGGGGCACTTGAATGTGATTTTATTTGGAAATAGGGTCACTGTAGCTGTAACTGGTTAAGCTGGAAGGATGAAATCCAGCGTGACTGGTGTCCTGAAAAAGGGGAGTTTGGACACAGAGACTTCTTGGCAATGCGCCAGGAAATAGGGAGAAGACAGCTGTGCGCCCAGGGGAGAGGCTTGGGCCAGACTCATCCTCCTTCCCTCAGAAGGAGCCCGTCCTGGTAACACAAGAGTCTCCTAGCCTCCAGAACTTGCGACCATACTTTTCTGAGTTTAGGCCATCCTGACCCGGTGCTGGTGACGGCAGTCCTGCAAAGGGACAGCCTCCACGAGACAGAAGAAACCCCAGTTCCACTTACCTGTGCCAGGGCTGCCCAGCTATGCGAGCCAGGAAAAACCCGAGGGAGTAGCCAGCCATGGGGAAGATGGTTCCTATAATCCAGAGCTTGGGAGCGATGATCCAGGCACTCTGGTACAGAACCCCGCCGACCACAGCTATGAGCACGATCAGGATGGCGCCGGCGATGGAGCCCACCTGGAGGGAGACGCAGCAGGTGCTGTCTAAGCCGCCCAGGGATGCTCCTCACCGAGCCCTGACCAAGCCCTTTCCCCTGGGAGGCGGGGGTCGGTTGCTCTGCGTCCGCCTGTCCTGATGCTGGGGGCCACCAGACACTCGAGGGCTGGCCCTACCTTTGAATTTTGGAGTCAGCAACGGGACATATGGGGGCCCCACTCTCTGAGCCGCCCGGTGCGCTAGCTGAAGCGGGCCCCACGACGGAGGACAGCGAGGAAACAACTCTCCCAGTAGCAGCTCCGAGTAACTGGCTCCCGGTGGGCCGCCCGCCCCTTCCTGCGCCAGGCACACGCCTCCTGCACCTTCGTTCCTTCATCCCACACGGGGATCAACTCTTGCCATAGTCACCTTTTATGGACGTTAGAATAACAGGCAAACTGTAAAAGTTAAACGGCATATGGAAACGAAAGCCGCGTCGCTATCAGCTTTCAAATGAAAAAAATTGGGAGATGATACATGTTTTTCATCCACTGAAAGGAAAACATCAGATTATTTTGCCTTCTGAACAGCGAACTAGGTCTCTCTCTGTCTCTGTCTCTATCCCTATTTCTACACCTTCCGTGCCTACATACATATGAGCATATTTCTCTATACTCTATTACATATCAATAATACATAGTATTATATATTCATATCCACATCCTCTAGCTAGAACAGTTAGTGAATTGGAATGAATGGTCAATAAGTCTATTCTTATAATATATACTACATATAATTGATAACAGTTATGCTGCGCCAGGCACACGCCTCCTGCACCTTCGTTCCTTCATCCCACACGGGGATCAACTCTTGCCATAGTCACCTTTTATGGACGTTAGAATAACAGGCAAACTGTAAAAGTTAATATATGCACATATTAATCAATATATGCACATATTCTATAAATGTGTATGTATATCTATGTGCGTGTATGTATGTATATATATATGCATTTATTTTATATATACATATACTTTGTATGTATATATAATATACACACACACACACATAGATATTCAACCAATTGCCACTACAATCCAACTGTATGTGGATACAGAGATAAAGATAGGATTTATCTTCTAAGACAGCTGTCTCAATATATTTTTTATTACAGACCCACATAACAGAAGTAAGAGCAAAGGGCTATGGGAAGATGGACTAAAGAAAACCAGCAAGGGCTGTTTGGACTGGGTATCTCAGAGAGCAGATAGGAATTTGCCTGGTGGCTGGGCAGGGGAGGCGCTCTGAGGAGAGGGTGTGTGTGAGGTAATCATAGGCCCCCTCAGAGGGTTATAATACAGGGAGAAAAGCTGTGGAGAGGGTTGTCAATCTGTTTCCCACAGCAGAATACACTTACCTTAAGAATGATCTTGGCTTTCTCGGGCCATTTGTGGTTAACATACATCCCAATGGAAACAGGAATCACCAGAGCCACCAAAGATGTACCTACAGATGACAAGACCATTTGCTCAACGGAGCACATAGCACAGGAGTGAGGAAAGAGGAGCAAGAGAAACACTCAGTTAAGGCTTCATCTCCCTTTGAAAGCGCAAAAGAGATATAAAAAAAGGAAAACCCCCACCCTCGGACAACTCTGTTTATTTATCTTCACTAGTAAATAGTTTACCATTGCTGGAGGAGAACTGATAACCTGGACCCTAAATCCAGTGTAAACTTGTTAGATTTCTTATAGTACCAATCACTGTCTCTTTGTCAGAATCCTGGGTTACTTGGTGTTTGGATTCTAATAACCTAGGAAAATGTGTTCTCGAAGCTTGTGTGTGTAAGTGTTCTTGAAGCATGTTGATATTTAATATCTGCCTATTATATACTGGTAGTAGGAATAAAAGTCCAACTTCTCCAGGCATTGTGGAGGTCAGGTCAGTGAGTTTGGGTGAAGAGTGACTTCAGTTATTCAAGTCTACAACAGAGAGGTGAGAGAATAGGCCAAAAAGCATGCTTCCAGTTTCTGTAAGATAATATATTTGGCAACCACTCAAGTAATTATAATTCTTTGCAGAAACGTGCTCACCCAAGCAGATAAAAGAGTCGTATTTCAGTATCACCGTGTGCTAAATTTACTGCTGTTCTCAGAAAATGTGGTTTGCTTCTCCATATTATTTAATGCTCATTTGTCCAATAGCTGTTTTTGTAAGCTATAGCACTAACAACTTCTAGCTTCTCAAGGGCTTTCCCCCACCCCTTCAAGCCTCCTTTTAAGGTGGGAGAAAGTAGAATTGAGTAATGAAATTCTGACATTGCTTAGTTTTGGATTAGATTGAAGTGGATTGAAAGGTAGATTCTAGATACCAGGACTTTGAAATGAATTTCACAGTGACGAAAACATAACTTCTTTGTAGCTGCCTGGAAATATAAGACTCAGCAATTATTATTTCTTTTTTCCTCAAAAAACTACTCAAAGGGACTAACTAATGGCTAAGGATACCAAGAGTGAAGACAAATAACCAGATGGGGAGGGGCAGGGAAAGTAGAAAATAACAAACTGTATGTCTATAAAAAAAGCCATTGATGGGTGCGCTGAAAAGCACACCCAGAAAAATCCCCGTTGGGTTCCCTTATATCCTGCTATTCCTGGGCCCCAAATGATTTCCTAAATCATGGGAAGTGGGTGGTCTTTGCTGAAGCCCCCCTCCACACAAATGGATTATCTCGTAGTAACTTAGACCAGGGCCCACGGCCGTGCGTGCAGTGTGAGCATGGTGAGGTTTTGTGAACACATGTTCAGTGTTTCAAATTGTGAGAAGAGTGCACCTCCCACGCTCCGGCCCTCCTGCTAAGAGTCTCAACCTCTTTGTCCAGCCCAAGGCAGCAGGAGAAACACTCTACCCGCCCAGACCCACTGCAGAAGTGCAATTGCTCTCCTGACCAGGTGAGACCAGATGAAGCCATCCCCGGCTTGAAGCTGACTGGGAAGACACTCTTCGCTTTCTTTCCATGAAAGCTGTGACTCCTGTCTAAAGACGTGGGTCGACGTGACTCTACCCCGTAGCGGGTCGAGAGCTCCTTGCCTTTCTCCAGGCTTTTCCCTTGTTCCTCCTGAGCCTGCAGTCTCGTGTCAAATACTATTTAGATGACAAGGTGTCTGCTTGTGAACCACAACTTGATCTTCAACCCCGTTTAAGGAAAGGAGGGGGGGCAGCTGAGAAGACAGCTGGGAATAACACTGAGCACCCCAAGTCTGGTTTCCCAGTTTGTGGGCAGGTGGGCAGGGTGGCCGTCTGTCCTGTAGCGCCTTTGTGACACTAGTGGACAGACTGGCCACTCTGAAGTGCAGTGCTGAGAGGAGCAGGGAGGACTGTGTTGCTGGTTTCCCTAGCGGGACCTGCTCTACATGCACCCCCACCTCTTGGGGTCACCCCAGAGCGTGATCGCACCTGCGGAATCTGTGTCGTGCAGAGCGGAGCAGACAGAGCAGACAGAGCAGACGGAGAAGAGCGCAGTGCGGGAGGGAATTCCCGGTGCCTGGTCACCTTGGCCAGTTATCCTGCCCCTTCATTTCCTCCTTTAAAAAGTGGTGATAGCATCTGGTGACTCAATCAGGCCCTTTGTTTTATCTGCACTAAAGCACTAGAAAATCCAGTAGTGAGAAGATTAGGTTAGAAAACAGGTTCGGAGGAACTGGTGAGCCAGTCAGTTTTTCGAACTCTCGTTTATAGTTTTTCTATCTTTTCCTCTTTTATCTTCTTTCATTCTGTTTTTCCTTTTACCTCTTTCCCACCATGGAACAGCTAAGTATTCTTCCTTTCAAACTTTATTTGCATTAAAATCTGTGCTATAAGTCATTCTCATCATAGTTAGAATTACTGCATTTCACCATTATGGCCTTTTCCAGAAGGAAGTGACTATCAAGAAAACAACAGCTTAAGGCTGAAATGTTTCTCTTTACAGTGAGTAATATAGGATGAAAATTATTCAGTGGTGTACTTTTTGAGAGTCTACAATGGACGGACCTACGCTAAGTGCATTCCTCACCTCTAAGGATGGTGCCCCAGGAGGAAGCAGAATGAAAAAGTCAAGTAGCTTGAAGGACAGGCAGGTGGTTGTGGAAAGCCACCTAATACTTGTTTGCCGATTCTATTCATGTGAAGGAGTTCCCCTTGCCCGGATCATCGAGGAAAATCCCATATTGTTTAGGGAAATCCCGTATTGAATGGGTGTGTCAGGAGAATCTATGATTGTGTGTGTGTGTGTGTGTGTGTGATCGAATGGCTATTGGGAAGGGAGAAGAGACTCCCCGAAAATACAGCCATACAGATTGTCTTCAGCTAGAGTTTTGAAAGTGTCCTAACTCAGTTATGTACACCTGGATCATGCCTTACGGCAGAAACGGAGGGCAATGTAGACGCCATCCTGCTCCGCTTCCCATCACGACAGGGGTCCTGCTGCAAACATTTGCTGAGCCTTCATTTAGCCTGGTCTCACACTTCCCTTCACCCTGCCACCCACGTGCCTCTGGGGAGCCGACAGGGCAGCTGGGATGGCAGCTGAAGCCCTGCAGTGGGACTGTCTGGGGATGGGCACGATGTGGCGTTTCTCTCTGCCTGCTCTCGGGCAAAGTCCTGTCTGCGCTGGCCAGCACTACTTCGCTTCTCCTTCCCAATTGCCATGCCGACAATTTCAGCCCCCACCGTCTTTTGTGTTCCCAGAAACAGAGAAAGGGACCTTTGGGTGAGGCAAGATGGCCAGAGCCCAGCTGTGACTGGCAGTCCACAGCCAAAGCGTGTTTCCTCCAGCGCTTCCCTGTGGCTGGAGCAGGAGAGCCAAGGGGTTGTGCTCCCGTTACATCACGAGCGCCCGTTCTCACCTCTTCGATTTGCGCATCTGAGACCAAAGGACTGGTCCCATGAACCCGGGTTACGAACAGGGCGGAGCTGGCCCTCCCTGGTGGCACAGCGGGTTAGAGCACAGCACTGAGAAGCTGAAGCCGCTTCCGCATGAGTTCGATTCCTGCCTGCCCCGGAGGTGACCACATGGCGCGGCAGACCTCTCCTGACCCGCCCGCTGCTCCCCTCAGCAGTGTACTTTGTCGATCTGCCTGTTCTGCTCCCCACTCTGTCCCTGGTGAAGCCTCTCACTGCCCCTGAGCCTCTGGCCTGTACCCCAGTTCTGTATGCACAAATAAACAAATCTTAAAAAAAAAAAATAGGGCGGAGCCTCGCTGGCCCGGACTTACCTCCCCAGGTTCCCCAGCCATATGGGGTGGGGCTGCGCCTCAGCTTCTACGGCCCCTCCGGGTGTCCACGGAGGGTAAAGCAGGTGCTCCCCGGCCAGGCCTGGCATTTCAGTCCTGCCAGCCCCCACTCCAGCCTTGCGTGGAACCGCCCCTGGTTCCAGAGGTGGCTCTGGACGCTCCCGGGCGGCGCACAGGGGTGCGGGGAGGAACCTACCGATGCTGTCGTAGGGAATCACGATGGTCCCCGCGTCGGTCCACATCTTGGTGTAGATGAAGAGACACAGCGGCATCATCCCCATGGCCAGCAGCGTGGAGCAGGTGGTCATGCTGACGCTGGAAGGCAAGGGCAGGATGAGGGGTCCCCCTGCTTTTCTGGGGGAGCGTCTTTCATGTCCATCCAGTTGGTGACTGAGCGGCGGACTCCAGCAGCCCAAGGCCCACGGTGTTTCGGGGCTGGTGTCAGACCCGGGGCTTGGGGGGGGCGCCTGGGGACCGCCCAGCAAACAACGCGAGCGCGCTGGCCGCAGCCGGCACGGGCTTTCGCCACGGTAGTTCTATTGGGACGGACGGGTGGTCTCCTCTGCCCGCGGGGCTGCGCGCCAGGAGGCGGCCTCGGTCTCTCCTTAGAGCAGGTGAGTTAGCCCCGGGCGAGAGCTGGAGGAAACGAGCGGCTGATGTCAAGAGGGTGGAGAAGGCGGGCGGCATGAGACCCCGGGACCCAGGAGCAGTGAGTGTGCGCCCCGGTGTGATGACAGGGACGCCCGCCCCACCCAGCTCCGGAGCCAGGGATGCACCTGCCTATTCTCTATGGGGGTGATGGGGGGGGGGCGGAGTGTGTGAGAGGGTGGGGGCCTGAGGGGGAGTCCCTGTTGCTCACCTGACTTCTCCCACCCCCGCTCTGTTTTGTTGTTCTTTCTTCTTCTTTTTAAAAAATTATCCATATATCTATTTACATTATTGTTCATTTTATAACAATGTTTACTTCCCCCCTTCCCCGTCCACCATCTCCACAGCCCCCCACATCCCTCCCTTCTTCTAACCCCTCTCCGTCCCCCTACCCTGTGGGATTGCTCTGGTTTATACTTATCTGTTTACTTTTGTATTATTTTGTCGTGTTTTGTATTGTAATAACAGTACACTTAAATTCCTCCTATAAGTGAAACCATTCGATGTTTTTCTTTTTCCTTCTGACTTATTTCGCGGAGCATAATCCTTTCCAGCGCCTCAGCACTCCGTACAACAGACAAGGGACTGATCACAAAGATACACAAAGAGCTCACGAATCACCTGGCTTTGGTGGGTGGGTTTCCTTACCTGGAGAGTGGAGAGCACACGGTGGCCACCTGGCTTGAGGACTTAGTGAGCCGCAAGGCAGGGAAAGCAAGGCTTCGCCCAGCCAGTTGCTCTTATTCTCTCCAGGAACAGTGTGGTGTGTCTGTGTGAGTGTGTGTGGTATGGACGTATGTGTGTGGTGTGGGGTGTGTGTGTCTATGTGAGCATGGTGTGGGGTCTAGGTGTGTGTGTGTGTGTGTGTGTGTGTGTGTGGTCTCCCAGCATAATGAAGGAAACTAAGAGCAGTTTCTCCAACAGGCCTTTTCTCTAGTGGCTGAGCATGGAGACTAATCAGAGTAGTAATTTCTTACAGATAGTATATGTAGGCTTGAAGAAAGTGCTCAATAGTTTGCCCCTTTGCTTCCCTCCAAACAACAATAACAACATACTTTGTACAAAGCTAAGGAAAGCATCTGGAAGTGAGGAATTTTTGTTTCCATGGATTTAAGCACAGTTGGACAAAATGAAAAGTGAGCGTAGTGTTTATCAGGGGTGCTAGCAGCCCTAATAATATATATATTTTTTAAACCAAGAATGATCCCACTTAAAATGTGCTTAAGTGATTCCGGAAAAAAAGAAAACAAAACTTGTCTTAGCAGAGCGAGACTCGTGTGATAACACCAGTGCCCGAGACATATGCCAGACCTTTCTGACACATGGTGTGACTGTGGCTGGTGGACCGAATAGAGAGGCTGTTAGCACACAGTCCTACAGCAGAACAGTGAGTTAATTTGTTACAAACAGTGTTTTGTCCTACTAATAATTAAAGAATTTGGAGTTTGTCAGTGATTATCCTCTCCCTTCCTCACTTCTATGTTTCTCCTTTTTCAAACAAACTAGAATAGGCTTCAGTGGTGCCCGTGACCTATTCCTATTTATCCTGCACATCTGATGTGTTGTCTACAGGTCAGAAGAGAGAGAGGGGTTAGCAGGGGCAGCTATTATTACCTGGGGGGTGGGAGGCAGTGCCCATTACCTGGGTCATAGCAAAGGGAAGCCTGAGGAAGACTGAACACTTTTGTTTTCAACCATAAGAGCAACCTTCAGAAGGGTTCTGTGTCCTTGTATTTTCTTTCAAATCCCTTTGTGAAAACTTCAGTTTTGAAATGTCACTATGGCGATTTATGACGTTGTATCATGGTTTTGAGTTTGGCAAAAGCAGTTTCATAGGGGCTTTAAGGATGGGCGGAGTAGGATATGAGAAGGACTTGGCTTTGCCTAGGCAGCCACCTTGATGGGAGATGCTGCAGGGGGTGGGCGAGCAGGTGGCTGGAAGTCCATGTCCTTGGGCTAAGATGAGGGACGCATCCAGGTACTCAAGGCAAGTGGAAAAGCAATTCACAGATACATCATTTCAAGAAACAATAGAGGAGAATACATTAGCCAAAGGAAGACATCATTTTATAGGAATAAAAAGTCTGGAGTTAGTTCTATGAAGAACATAGATGCCAGCAATGTGGAATGAAAGAAAGAACAGCAAACCGCCTTGAATTCAATGCATGCTGAGAATTTGGCCCAAGTAAGTGGTAAGAAAAGCAAACGATTACAATCACATTAGATTGAAATGCCAGCTTGAAAGATCAAAGGAGGTGTATGAGGTGACGCTACTGGTGGAGAAGTGATGAGTGAGAAAGGGATAAGTGTCTGAGCAGGGGTAAGTGGATGAGTCTGGATTCAAATTCTGACTTCGATGTGTATTGACCCTATGAATAACACTAATTAATTCTAATACTCATACTCAATAATTAATACTAATACTCAATAATACTCTGATTGTAGAGGATCATTTGAGGATTAAAATGCATACAGACTAAGTATGGCACTGATAAACATTAGGTAGTAAGATAAAACAAAAGCTGTTTGAGAGACACAAATTGTTACTTTGAGGGAAAACAAAAGACAGGTCACATTGAGTTAGTAGTTAGGGAGGACCTGGAATCTGATATAACTGAAATGAGGGATTGCTTGGAATTTGTCACAAGTCAGTTGGCATGGTTTGACCTACTAGAATGTGAAATATGCAACCACTGTTGGCCAAAGAACAAAGGATATGGTAGGAAAACTGGAAATCTTAAATGTAGAAAAGAATCAAAGGGAAGGTTGAAAGGTGTGCAGTGGAGGGATGGGAGAAAAGCTGAGCAAGGGTTCAGGAAGTCAAGCAAAGGAAAGAGAAAGAAAAAGTTCCTGCATGTTGTGCAAACCCCAGATTTAGAACTGGGGACAGAGAAGACTCAGGGAAGACTCCGTGTCCCTGGGCTCCCCCTGATCTGTAGGTATCTGTGGTATCTGAAACACCTACAGATGTGGCCACCAGTGGCTCCAGCCACCTGCCTGAAACGTCACCTTTGCTACTTCTCCCTGAGACATTCTGTGCCTGCGATGCCCATGCACAGGATGACTGAAGCGAAAATGTCCGTACACCCATCAGAGTCCTAAACTGGGGTGGTCAAAGGAGCAGCATTTCTGCACTTCAGATGGTGAATGTGGGGTGCTGTTTTGAGAAGGGCAACCGTGTCACCATCATCATTATTTTTCTAAGTCACCAAACATTGCCAGATGCAATGGCTTCTGTATGCAGAAGGGATGATAGCTGAGAGAGGGAGATTCGCTTACTTCTCCTAGGAGCTCCATCCAGGGAAGCTGAGCCTGAGGACCTGTGTTGGTGGCATGGAGCAGTATCCATCTAACTAGCACAGACACCTGTTGGTGTCAATGGCGTATCTATTTGTTTCTGTTACTGTAGTTATTTGCATGAGTTTGGTAAGAATATGTTCTGATAGCTACTGGCTACCTGTAATGTCGTATTTGAGAATATGCATAAAATCGGCAATGAATGGCGTCTTTTGGGAATCAAAGCTCCTTGAAAAACAAATCTGGTGTCTTGCTGTCAGGGTCCCCACAGCTTGATGAGGGGAGTGAGCTTGTCACAATCTAGTAGATCCAGGAACCTCAGGCAAGTGGCACTGATCTGTAGGTGTCTGTGGTATCTGAGGGTGAAGACTTGGGGTGACTCTTAGCCCGCAGAAGCTCTCAAGTGAATAACCATATCTTGACTATGATTGTTAGCCCTCAAGTGGAGAAGGACAAGGCAAAATATTGGGAGTAGAGAATCGGACTACGGATGGTAGGTAGGACCCCATCTAAATAAATGACTATGAGCTTTGCATGACCCAATGCTCACGACAGAAAACTTAGTTTTGGAAATCTGTTTCCCAGTAGCTGAGGTGTGAAATATGTTTTCAAGGCATATTTGAGGACTTTCCTCTAACACAGATGATGGGTAATGTCCTCGTTGTGCAGAACATAGAGGTGGTAAGGACCTCTTTCTCCTGCGTCACTGGGTAAACTTGGTTATTTGCAGTGCTAACCCACAGTGGTGCCTTCCGCTGACGGTGCTGTATTGAAAGAACTCTTGGCCCCTAAAATAAGCAGTGGGGCTCTGTGTGTGGTGCCGAGGCACCCTGTCATCTCTCACAGTCAGGATTTTGGGGCCATTTGCTGCTGTGGGACTCTGCCTGAACCTCCACCAGCCTCCACCTACTTCTTGCTTCTCAGCCTTTGTGTTGGGAAATCGCCTTACAGAACTTCAGAGGAGGGTAAGTAGCTCCTGTGAGAGAAACGTTGATGAGATAATATGGGGTTATGTTGGAGGTGCCATGTCTTTTCTGGGGTCCTGGTTGCATTCTGGAGATGTGGACTTGCTTGAGTGCATAGCACTGGAGCGATGCTGGCACTAACTGCTAGACAAGGAGTCTCTGGACAGTGGGCATTTCCTAAGATGAGAATTAAAACGTCAGCCCCCATTAGAGAGCTTACTCTCACTTGCAGAAAGATGAATAGATACTGTTTCGACTGGATATTTGCCCCTGAGGTTTCTAATTATACTTTTGTGTCTTCTTTCCTTGATTTTTGCAGGATCCTCTTTCTAAACAAAATGTATTAAGCTTTTTTCTATGGTAGATATGTTTAATCTATTTCTTGAGTTTTTTATAGGAATTGTTAAACGGGGTAGACATATAACTTAATCATCTTTTGTTTCAAGAGAAAAAAAAATCCTAAAAATCACAGAAAAGTGAAAATTGGAGTTCTTAGAGTAGATTGTTACAGTTACAGACCAGAGAAGGGGACAGTTCTACAGTCAAACAAGCCAGCAGGACACACACCTTTCCGTCTCAGGGAACAATGACACTTGGGGTACAGGGACAAGGCTGTCTGGTTTGGGAAAGTTACAGCAATGATGGAGGAGCTACCTGTTGGGTGCCCAAGCCTCATCTGCGACTTAGTTCCCGCTCTTGGCTTAGCCAACATTTAGGAGTGTCCCCCCAACCCCACCTGCAGGTGCACTAATGGGCGTCCCAGGACACCTGAGGACTGCTCAGTGCTTCACAAGAGAGCCAAATCTGATGGCATGTGCCAGCCTTTATCTCTTCCAGAACTTTCCTTAAGCACAAAATCTATTGCAAGATACCGCATTCCCTGGGGTGACTAATATCACATGGAAGGGCATTATTCGCCTGGGATTTTCTGCCTTTCAGAGCAAGTAGCACCAGCAGAGACACAGAGGTAGCTCACAGCTGCTCCCCAGGCACTAGGTCAGCCTGGAGCCAGTTTAGATGTCGCAGGCTTACTTTTCTACACTGGCCTCCGCTCTCTTGTGTGGACAGTTGTATACTGAGTAGAGCTGATTCCCGATTGTACAGCTTTTAATAAGCTCGGGCTCCATTAACACCTGGCTGGTTGGAGAAATGCACACCCTTCCCCGGGAAATGAGAGATGGGGAGCTAGGAAAGAGACATTGTTCTGTTCAACTCGTGGCATTAACATCTGGGTCTCATCACATTAATGCTTCATCTTATTTCGATTAGCTTTTTTCCCTCAGTGCTAGTTCGGACCGGCATGGGATGAATTGGGCAAACACAGCAATTTAGTTTACTCTGTGGGAAGCACAGAAACCATTTTCTGTTGATTTTACAGTAAGGTAAGCATAATTTTAAAAAAAATTGTTTTTCTTTCAATGTCAGTAGTCGTGAAGCAAATATACAAATCCTTTCTTGGGTTTTATACCAAGAGAGCCTTGTCCAAAGGATTGGGAGGGTTCGGTGGATCTTGGCAAGGTCTAGTCCAAGACCTTACTGTTTACTGAGCAATCAGCTCTCCTAATTGCCTTCAGAGTTCTATTGACCACGGAGGTTTTGTTTTTTCTTTCCTTTCTAATACCAGAAGGAAAACTTTCTCAGCTTGTGGCTTGGAAAAATTTTCTCTTTGGAAAAACTTTGACTCCTTTCAAAGTGAGCTTGAACAATTATCCAGCTCCCTACTAACTGAGATGAAAATGCCCAAAGAGGAATGATCGACCCCAAATTCCAGTGACTAAGCTCTTGGACAGTGTGGTCAGGGAAGGCAAGCTGGCGCTCCTCTTTCCTTCCCCATGTGGGCACCATGTGGGTACCTTCTCCAGGCCTGGGCTGCTGGGGAGATGAACCCACCGGGCTGCGGCGTGTGGAAGGCTGGGCTCTTACCTCAAATCCATATCGCCGTCAACCCAATAGGCCAAGATGTTGGAGGACGTTCCTCCGGGACAGCACCCCATGATGAGGATGACCACGGCTTGGAGCGGGAGGACGTCAAAGGCCACTGACAAGATGAATCCAGTGAGGGGCATGATTCCAAACTGGCAGAGGAAGCCCACACAGATGCCCCATGGCCGCTTCATATGCCAGAGGAATCTATTGATGTCCACGTTGCATCCCATGGAGAACATGACCATGGCCAGCAGGATGGTGAGCACAGTGCTCAGGACCACGCTGAGAATGGCATTGAAGTTGCTCTCAGGCACCACGCAGGATGTGCCGTTGCACAAGGTGGCTTCGGGTGCGCAGTCCATTGAATTATTCATCGCTGGTTTTGCTGCTTGGATGGGTCACACCAGTTCAGGAGGCACTGGTCCTCCCTACTGGCTGGAGAATAGAGCCTGCTCCAGCCCAGTTGAACTTTTAAAGCCTTCCTAAACATGTGTCTCTTTCAAAAGTCATCTCCGAGTAGCCATAAAAAACAATAAATGCTAGTATGCCAGTTTCGAGAGGGACATTACAACACAGCTCAATCATGACTCATCAACGCCCTGCCAAATTATTGGTCCAGACAGAGAGTTGTAATTAATCATTTATTGGCATGATAATGAACCATGCCATATAAAAAAGAGCTGTGTTAATGGTTAATACTGGGGAGGTTGGCCAAATCATTTCGCTTCAGTGGCACTGAAAATCAACTCAGAATGTCATAGAACGTCAGGACGTTAAGTTGCTGGAAAGCCTGCTGTTCCTCACCTCGCTTTAAATAAGGGGTCTGGGTCTGGGAAAGAGTCTTGTGCTGAGTTAAATTGCCAGTGTCAAGCTCTCAACCGGATCCCAGATCTCCAAGTTCCTCCCTCTGTTTAATCAGCAAGTTGATTTATATTGGTCTCTAGTGTTTATTGAATATATGTAAACTCCAGAAATGTGTGGGGACTTGATGTAAACCTACAGGGGAGTCCCATGAGGGAGGACGGTGTTTCCATATTGTCTGGTAGGAAGGTGGCTGGCTGGTAGGGAGAGCCACTCAATCACTTACACACGAAATTATGAGTGTATCACCATAGTAACAAAGTGCTTTACAGATAGAGACAATACAATTATTTAGAGGGATGAACCTCAGAGGATTAGGTCAAAGTGACAGGAGCTCTGTGTGCTTGAGTCAGGAATTGAAATGAGAGTGTTTTTCAGGGGATGGCTGGGGCTGATCAGCAGTTCCAGGTGAGGTTGATTTTTGTAAATGCCATATAATCAGCCTCATTCTGGGCAGAATGTGTAACCTGGTAGAAGGTAAACTAAAGAGGTTGAGGAGAGATTGTGCCTGTTCTCAGTGGTTTATAAACCAATTATTGAGTCAGAATGCAGTATAAGAATAACATTGAATATTCTAGTCATGATTCACAAGTGACAGGACAAAGTCTAATTTATTATTTAATGTGATCATCCGAAGTAGGATTAGCATCTCCGTTTTAGAAATGAGGATTTAAGGGGTTGAGGAGATGTGTTATTCATGGTCTCCCAGTGGATACATGGAAATATCCATACATTCATTCAGTGTGATGCAGACTTGGGGAAATCCCTTGGGACAGAGCTGCTGTTTGGGTTTACTCTTGGTGGTTAGGTGTGTTCTCTGGGGGCAGCCTAAGGTTGGATTCTGTTTTCAAATCCACCTATATACTCTGTGTCTTTTTATTTGTGAGTTCATTTACATTTAGAGCAATTATTGACATATTTCCTGGCTTTCTGGTTCCATTTAATTCCTTATTCAATGCTTTGTGTTTGTTTTTTTCTCTCTGGTTTGTATCCTAAAGCTTCTTTAAATATCTCTTTGAAGACCGTTTAGTGAATGCACATTCACTAAGATTTTCTTTAGTTGGGAAGGTCCTTATTCAGTTATACAGGAAAGAGAGCCTTGCAGGATAGAGTATTCTTGGTTGGTACTTTTTTCTTGGACATGTTATTACATTCTCTTCTTACCCTTGTGTTTCTTTAGAGAGGTCTGATGTTTCTCTCTTTCTTCCATCTTGTCATCTTCATCAGTTTTTCTTTGACTTGGAATCTTGGGAGTTTTACTATGTGTCTTGCTGTAGTTTTCCTTTCATTTAGGTAGCTAAGTGTTCTTTTCCCGTCTTCTATTATTATGTTCATTTCCTTCTTCAAGTTTGGGAAGTTCTCTTCCACTGTTTCCTTAAATAGATTCTCAGTTCCCTTCTTTCTTTCTTCTCCTTCTGGGGTTCTCATGTTTCTTATATTTCCTTTCCTCGTGGCATCAGACAATCCTCCAAGTGGTTCTTCATTTGTTTTCCTTTGTTTCTCTCTTTTCTCTTGATCTTTTTCATTTTGAGATCCTAGATTCTTTCTTCCACTTGATTTATTCTACTTATGTATTTTTTTCTGAATTTTTTTGCTTTCTCCCACATTTTTGTCATTCCTCTATTTAAAGTTTCAATGTTGATCTTCGGTTTCTTGTTTGTGTTTCTCATAGCATTAATTTCCTTACATGCGTGTTCTTTATGTTGTTCCCATTCTTTATCTTTCTTAATCATGACCATCTTGAATTCTCTGTTAGGTAAAGAAGATCTTCCATGTCTTTGTTGTTTGGTTCTGGGGTCTTGTTTCCTTTCTGTGGTGTACTATTCTCCTGAGAACTACTTTGGCCATTTGTATTTTTCTTTCTCCACATTATTTGCTTTGGTTTGCTCTGCTGTAGTTTGGGCTTTTGTTGTGTAGGAGTTCTAGAGAATTTGGTGTGCCCTAGTCTGCGGGTCCAGTTAAGATGCAAATTCTGGATTCTGCAAGTCCAGTGGGTCCTGATATCTGCAATTCTAACAAGCCTAGGGTGTGCCAATGTAGGCATACAGATCCAGGGACCACACTGGTAACTGAATGAGGGTTCAAAATACGGATATCCTGAGCCCTCCCTGGTGGCGCAGTGGGTTAAAGCACAGCGCTATGCAGCTAAAGCCACTTCAGCACAAGTTCGATTCCCAACCAGGGAGGTGACCCACATGGTGTGGCAGACCTCTCCTAACCTACCCCACTGCCCCCCTCAGCAGTGTACTTCGTCAATCTGTCTGTTCTGGTCCCCACTCTGTCTATCTCTGGTGAATCCTCTCAATGCCCCTGCACCTCTGGCCTGTACCCCAGCTCTGTATGCATAAGTAAATAAATCTTCAAAAAAAAAAAAAGAAAAAGAAAATACCGATATCCTGATGAGAACAGTTATCTCAAGCTAGTGAAAGTGAACATGTTGGTTACTACTGAAACCAGTATTTACACAGCAACTTCAAGTGGACAGTGAAGCTCTTCCGTGACTTGAGTAAATCCGAGTGGGTCAGCAGGCAGAGGGAGGAAGAGCAGAACACGTCCCAGTCAGCAAGTGCCCAGGAATGATGTCCTTTGAATTTGGCATTGAGCTCCTGGGACTACATCCAGTCAGGTCCACAGAGGGTGACAGGACTGGAGAAGCCTACTGCTGTGTATATATTGCGACCCACTCTGCCTTCTGGCCCATTTCCCATCACCCACAGAGAGAAGAATTAATTAGGTAGCTAGCACAGTGCCTCTCCCTTCTCCTGGCAGGGGGTGATGTGGCCCTGCCTGCCTGATCCCCTTCCAGCATCTCCTGGGCCTGACCTCTGGGGCACTTCTTGGTTCAGCTGCCAGTCAGCCCGGGGCAGGTGAGCCTCCTGCTCCCCCTGCTGCTTCATCTGGACATTGCCAGAGCCGCCTCTGCTCCAGTCTCACACCTGCGGCTGGACCAGTGTTCAAAGGCCCAGGCCCGTTTGAGCTTCAAACATGGCAGCATTTGATTTTGAATTATTATTTTTATTTTCAGAGTGGAAATTTCTTTCATGTTATGCCTTTGCATTTAAGTCTACTTTAGCATAAATATCTTCTTGGATTCACCTTAGATTTATCTCCAAATATTGTATTTTTAGAGGGATATTTGTAAAAATTTAAAACAAGTAACATCATATTTTACCTATTAATTTTCTTTGGTGGTGTTATTTTTTAATTTTTCTCAGATGAGGAACTCAGGCAGGCTATGGTTTGGAGTGGAATTGTGGGATTTAGCTGTAAGCTTTCCAAGCATGTCATTTCCTTAATTTTGGAAATCCATTTTGTTTTTACTCTTCTGAAAACCCTGAACATTTGGACAGGGGAGGTGCTATTATCTGCAATTGGCATATGTGATAATAATGGAGAGAGAGAGAGAGAGAGAGAGAGAGAGAGAGAGATCTGCCTAGCTACCTCATAAAATAATACAATTAAAAAAAATCCTTAGTTCTCAAAACTTTTGGCTTATGTCAGTCATGTGACTACCACATCTGAAAAGCTGAGATGTTCTTGTCCTAGCAATTAAGGATAAGATCCTTCTTTTGGGAATACTCTCTGTAAAGGAGCTGGGTACTCTCACTGCTTATCTGGAAATAAACAGAGCAAAAATGAATAAAAAGCTCCAGGCTAGCATGGAGGGTGTCTGGGTTTCAGGCTTACCTCTAGCATCCTTCACTCTCACAAATCCCAGGTCCAAGAAATCAGCCTCTTTTCTTTGCTGAGAAAAATGACTGTTTCTTTCTAAGAGCAAAGCAACACATCATTCCAGTGCACAGAAGATCAATGTAGTCATGTTTCTGGATTTAGCTTATTCAGAAGTCACCTCTTTCTGCATGAACAGCTGTTTCAAAGGGACAGGAAAACCTGAATTTCAGGTCAACCTTTCAAAGGGAAGAGGGTGGGATGACTGTGCAGGGCTTAGGACAGACACATTGCAGGTGGACTTGGGGGAGTGAAGAGAGCAGAAAGAAGCTGCAGAAGGAAGCTCTTCTCCAATTTCAGAAGATGTGCTAAGGAGATTTTAAGCTCCCAGGGGCAGAATGCTTTGCATATAGACAACTTGCAAATGAGCAGTCTGTTCGCCTAGACAAGTGCTACCGTTCTGGTAAAAAAAATGTGGCAATGCATTTCTAATTTTCACATTGTTTTTACATAAATTTGCACATTGGACTCGAGAGGCCTTATATTCAAGTATTGGAGTGATTCACAATTAATTAGTACCTTTTACTTTCAGCTGCATTCAAATTCAGGCATCAGAGCAGGATAAACTGAAATGTAAAAATCATTCTCTTTAATTACCACGCAGACTCAGGGAGCAGATGCTCACCCCTGAGTGGGCCCCCAGGGGGTTGGGGCTTGTTTCCTGTCATCTTTCTCAATCTTTTCGGCTCCGTTTCTTCTTATGGTGACCTCAGGTACAGGTGAAATTCAGGAGACTTGGGGGTGGAGAAGTGGGGGTCGATTCCACTGAGGAGCTTTTCCTGAT